TCGCCGGGGGCCACATGCACCCGACCGGGCCAATCCCAAAGTCTCAGTCTTCTCTCCCCGCCCTCCGCCCCCACCCGAGTCCGTGCCCTCGGCTCCTTAGAAACTGGCGGGAGCTCGGGCTCGTCGGGGAAGACTGAGAGGTGCCCCCAGCAGTCCAGGGTGAAAGGAAATGGGACCCCATGAGCGCAGAACTAGACCACGCGCGAGCTAGGGGTGGCAGCGAAAGGCGGATGAGGAGTAACTTGGGGGAGGGGGTATACGTCCCGCGGGTTGGGGGCGCTCAACCTGGCTGGAAACTGCTACTCGAAGTGCAGAGAATCACGCACTCACACACTATTGTTCCTCCCGCACACGCTCCCTGGAACGAGGGGTGGGAGCCGAGTGCGCTCTCCAATTTCAGACGTCTCCAACCCCGACAACGCACCCGCGGGCCAACTCCCGGTGGCTGCCAAGGGGGCAGAGTGTAGACGCCCAAACCAGGAAGGGGCTCCTTAGGATCCGGGAGTGCTGCGGGCATGTTAGGAGTTCCCTGGCGCCGCCACCCTGGAACAAGCTAGGGACCCACGCGAGGTTCCCTGCCCCTCGCTTCTCCCTTGAGCGCAAAACAACCCCCAGGCCACAGGGTTCTGGCTCTGACCACTGGCTGGCACCTGAGGACAGGAGGCGAGCACAAGTTCCATTTGCTGTAAGATGCTTAGAGAAGCCACTGCATCTCCTTCTCCCTCCGGCCAGCAGGTCCCCCTCGGTCCTGGAGGAGGGGGATGATACACAAGCCTGGGCGGAGCGGAGTTAGGGCGCATCAGAGCCTGGGTGTGGGTGGTGGGGAGGGAGTGAGTAAGGTTGGAATGGGTATTTGTAAAGGAGTGAAGCAGGTATCAGCTGCAGAATTGACTGAGACTTTTCATGAGCCGCACGTTTTGTTGCCGGCAGCGGTGAGAGAGAGGCAGAAGCTCGGTTCTGGATGCGAGACTTTCCCCCTCTTAAGAAGACATCACTGGGACTTAAAAAGTGGACGTTGTCTTCTGAGGGCTGAATACATCTGCTAAATACCTACCAACACAGTCCTTGGATGAAAAGATGGAGTTGCGGGGAAGAGAGGGTTCTGGGGCCTTGTAAAGATAGGACTTCAAGGATGTGCGGGATCTGGGCTATTTCCAAGGAAGGAATCCCAGGCCGGGCGCAGTGGCTCACGCTTGTAATCCCAACACTTTGGGAGGCCGAGACGGGCGGATCACGAGTTCAAGGGATCGAGACCATCCTGGCCAACATGGTGAAACCCCATCTCTACTAAAAATACAAAAATTACCTGGGCGTGGTGGCAAGCGCCTGCAGTCCCAGCTACTTGGGAGGCTGAGGCAGGAGAATCGCTTGAACCTGGGAGGCGGAGGTTGCAGTGAGCCAAGATCATGCCACTGCACTCCAGCCTGGGTGACAAAGCGAGACTCTGTCTCAAAAAAAAAGGAAGTAATTCCAAACGGGTTCTGGAGGCAAAGGCTTGGAAGCAGGATAAACCTTCAGGGGACACTATTGAGGGCTGCTTTAAGGGGTCCCTTCCTATCAGAGAGGGGAAATAAGGAAAGAATGATGGTGTTCTCAGCCTGAGCAGATGCTTTGCAGTAGCAGATGCCTGGGGAAAGGTACTGGGCATAGATGGGCGTGGCAAAGTGGGCTCATGGCCCTGCACCCTGAGCCCCTTGCCTCTCTCCAGCTCCCAGGCTCCAGTGATGTCCACCTTGAATTTGGCGCCCAGGCCATGGACCAGAGGCTCCCACTCCCCTCTGTCACGTGAGGAGCATGTGACGTGTACCTGCACCCACTATGAAGCCCCCCTTTTCTCTTTTTGCATTTGTTAAGTGTTTGGTCAGGGCTCTGCCAGTTTTCTTTCCTGGTGTCATAGAAAGGCCACAGATCTGACATCAGCGTTAAGTCCCAGCTTGAAGGCATTTACTAGCATTGTGGCTCCAAGCCTGCATATTCTCAGCTGAAAATGAGACTGATAAATACCAGCCCTGCCTGCTTTACACAAGAACAAGTTAGAGAGTGTCAGGGAAAGAGCTGCATAGTTATTTCATTTTTTAAAATTTTGTTTTGTTTTTTCTAGAACTGCATAGTTATTTAGAGTGCAGCCCTCAAAGCTGCTCCCGCCCCCAGAGCTAGGGCCCCCTTCTGGGGTGGCCCCCAGAAATGGGTACAGACTCTCCACCCCCAATAACTGGGCAGGAATGCTGTCCTCCTTTACTCAGCAGAAGAAAGGCTTTTCTTCCCCTTATGACTCAACTTCTCTTTTCGGCCGTGTGAGGGAAATTGCTTTCTTCCCTTCTATTTCCAAGGTCAGAGGACGGAGCAACCCTGGAACCTGTGTGTGGCCCACCAGCCTGACAAGCCATGACTCGCACCCCCCAGATGGAGGAGAGAAACAGTAGAAACCCAGAATGGGCACTTTCTTGGTCCTGAAGAGCCCCTCCTCCCTGAGACAGCTGAGCTTCATTTCTGTCCCTGTTCCCCGTGGTGGACTGAGACAGTTCCAGGGAAGAAGAGTTAGGGCAGAAAGTGCTGTGCTGGGTACCCTTTGGAAGGAGCAGTTGGTTCCCATGGCAGGAAGGGGGTGGTGGTGCCAGGTCTCGAGCCCTGGAGCCTTTGCTCTGACTTCCCTGTGGGCTCAGTATGTTCTGAACAGAAAAGAAACAGCAAAGCTGAAAAAAAGCTGAGACTTTGCTGCAGAGCACAGAGGCACCAACAGCCGGAATTAGAAGCTGTCGCTTAGGGAGCTGAAGGCTGACAGGAGATGGAGCCCAGGCAGGCAGGGGGCAGGCAGACACGTCATACTCACCTCCCCTCTTCTCCCCTCGCATCCCACCTGCTGGGCCTGTCCCCCCAGCAGGCCCCAGGCTGGCAAAAGGGCTCCCTCCCCAAGATGCCTCAGTGTGGTCTGTCACTGTGTCTGCAACTGCCTCCTTCCTGGGCCCCTTCTTTCCTCAAGTGTCACCAGCCCCCTCACGCTGTCACGTTGCACCAGCTTGGCAGGGTAGGGCCTGGTGGCACGTGTCTGGGAGATCCAGAGGGCTGCTCAGGGGATGCAGGGGGCGGGGTGAGTCAGCAGGGGACTTGAGTCTGAGTCAGCAATGGGATTGGGAAAAGGGTAGAGACCCTTCTCTTTGTGCAAAAGGTGAAACTGAGGCATGAGGCATGAAAGGGAGCCTTGCCCCAGTCCCATAGATACATAGCAGTGATGGAACCCAGGTGTCCTTCACCTGCCCCAGTACCCCAAGGGAGGGCGTCAGCTCTTCCTCTGTACATCACCTGCAGCAAGAGACTAATTCATCTCCAAGGCCCAGAGATGGCATTTGCCCAAGGGACACCTTGCCTTTTTGGGAGGAAAGCAGGGAGGCGGGTATCCAGGCCTGGCCACATGGGAAGGTCCCAGTCTGCTGTGCAGAGCTGTCTCCAGGGGCAGAATTGCATCACCTTCCCCATTCCTGGACTACCCAGCTCCAAACTGGGAGCCCAGAGACTCTGCATGACCTGGCCCAGAGGCGAGGGGAAGGCAGCTTTTCCTTCTCCTGAACAGTCATCAGCAAAATCTAGGGGCTGCCCAGCGGGCTCCACTGAGCTCTGGCTCTGGCTTACGTGCACATGCCTGGATCAGTGAGTTCCTCTAGGCCTGAATCCTCACCTTTACAGCCCAGTGCCCGGCAGAAAGGTTGAACATAGGGCACTGCCCTGGGGTGTAGGTGGTCTGCCCCAGTGTATCCAGTCTGTAGTGATGTAGGGAGCAGGCTGATCAATGCTAGGCCTTAGCCCAGTAAATGATCAGGCCCCCTCACCTCACCCTACAGCCAGGGCCTGGCAGAATCCCAGAGGTCAGACTCCCAGAGGGATGGGATGGCAGGGTGCGGGCAGGAGGACCTGTTTGCCTTCCAGAGGAACAGGTGCTCACAGCTGATGGCATCTGCTGTAACTCTCTAATAAGAACACAACCTCTTCCCAGAATCAACCCCCTCTGCCCCTCCTAAGACACTGTGTGTCCCTATCTGGGACATGGGATCATGTCATTGGTGCAGTGAGTGGCTGCCCACCAGCCCCTCTACAACAAGTTTTGAGGTCAACCAAAGCTGCCATAGGGGCCTGAGCATCCAACCACTCTGTCTTCCTAAAGGGGCCTAGATTGCCTAAAAGTTTGTAGTTCCGCCCAAAATAGGGGACATCTTTGTACTCAGCTCTTCTGCTCCAACCCTGAGAGTGGAAACAATGAAGGGCCACATCTGTGTGGGGGCAAAGTGGGAGTGACATAATTTTCCAGTGATTGTGGCATCAGGGCCAGCAGAAGGGGAAATGAATCCTCTTCAAGCCCAGAGGCAGGGCCGTTTCACTGGACTCTCTGGACAGGACCTAACCCTGGGTTCAGCTCCCCAGAGATTTTTTCCCCAGCCTGTTTCATTTCAGGGGCACTCCACTACCCTGCTCCCCATTTCCTACCTGTAGAATAGAGACCAGGCTTAAGCAGGAAACACTGGGATGAGGTTCTTTAATAGGAGCAGGAAGGAGAAAAATAAATAAACCTCATAAATTCAGGAGAGCAAATGATGCTGACATTGTCAGGCAGGCAGCCTGAGAGGGGTACATGCTAGGAACAGTCTGCCCCCAGGCCTAGGAAGAGGGGTGAGCCAGGTTCAGGATGGAAGAGCACCCGAGAGGCCACTGCCCCTCGTGACTCAGCCAAGCAGGGCTGAGGCAGCTTTTCCATTTCAGCCTCCTGTTCTGGACAGGCAGAGGGGAGGGGAGGGCCCTCAGCCGGGGAGTGGCCGTCCCCAGGGAGCTGTGAGGTAGTGCCAGGCTCTGCCTCTAGGAGTGGACAAGGCCAACTCAGGGCAGGCCTGATGGGGCCTGGAAGCCTGGCAGAGCTGCTAACATTGGGGCAGGAGGGTTTGGGGCTAGAGTGGAGGTTCCAGGTGGGTGGGTCCAACCCTCCAGGTGAGGAAACTGAGCCCAGAGTGGGGTACCGCTGGTTGCTCAATAGGAAAGGCAGAGCGGGGCCAGGACCCCACTTTCTGCCTCCAAGTCCATAGTCTTTTGCCTTCAACAAATATATGACACTTATCTAGAGATGTGGGGGTAGGAAGTCAGCTTGCGAAGACTTCTAGGCCCCAGAGGCGCTGCTGTGAGGGTGCCTAGGTCCTGTCTCGGCCTCTGGCCTGGCCGTTGAGGAGGGGGCTGCAGCGTCCAAGGCAGCCACAGGTTCCCACAACCTCAGAAGGCTGGGGCTCCTTTTTCCTGGGGGAATAGAAGCACATCCCAGAGAAGGGGCTGAACATCCTTGCTAAATGTCCCAGTGGGATGGAGGCATCAAAGGCGGCTCTCCTGGACATCTGTCTTTGCTACGACTGGGTCCTGCTCACACAGCTCTGGGGGGCACTCGCAGTCCCTCTCAGGCTTGTCCTTGGTCTCAGAGGGAAAGCAGGTCCTGAAGCAGGCCCTCACCGACTCCTTCACCTCTGCCTCCAGACCCTTCATCCTGGCCTCGTACTCTGCCAGCGCCTCCTTCTGGAACTGTGGAGACAGCAAGGACGCCTGCCTGGCTCAGGAGGGCCCCCTGTCCACCCTCGCTCCCTGGACAGTGGGAAAAGGAGATGCCCAGTATCCATGTTCGGAGCTCCTAGGAGACTGGGGTGAGAGGCGGGGTGGGGGAGTGGTGGAGCCCATCAGGAGCCTGTCAAGAAAGGGATCCCAGCCAGGCAGAGATCTGCAGAGCTGCCTCATTTGAAAGGGCCTCGGGACCCCACAGTGAAGGATGATGGCCCCTTCCCTGCCCTCTGACTGGCAGCTCCCTGGGGCAGGGCCCCTTTACACCCCAGAACCCATTCAGTTCTGCTGGGGGCCCCGTAGTGAATCTGTTACCTGCTTTTCCATCTCCCGTATCTGTTCCAGGCAAGCAGCCTGCTTCTCTTCCAGCTTCTCCTGGTGCTTCTCCAAGTTCTCTGTCATCTGGGTGGGAGTGGATGGCAGAGAATCAGGACAGCATAGACGGGCAAGCTGGGTCAGAATCCAGCTGTAATCCCAGCTAACTAGTTGTAAGACCTTGGGCAAATTCCTTAACATTTAGGTAGTTTTTTAAATTTGTAAGATAAGGATAGCAGCACCTGTCTCACTGGACTGTAAAAGATTATACAAGGCAGCTCATGTGAGGCACCTGGCAGAGTGCCTGGCACAGGTCAGGACCCAGTAGGTGGCAGCTCTGTTCTGTGGTTAATGATCCCCAGGGGAGCTTCAGGTCCATTCTCTCTTCCAACTCCTTGGCACCTCAGGAAGCCTCCTCACTCCCTCCTCATCCCCCGACCCTTGCCAGTCCCAGCCTCCCCTGGCCCTGATACGGGCGTTAGCCCATATCATTTCCACACATGAGAACTGGCCAGAGATAGACCCCTTCAGGCTGGTACCCCAACCTCCATACACAGGCCAGAACCCCAGGATGTCCCCTTCCACCCCAGCTGCATGGACGGCGCTGGACAGTGCATCTCCTAAGGGCAAAGTCAGGGCCTGGGGCCACCCCTTCCCACTCGTGAAGAGCGAGATTGTGTGTGTGTGTGTGTTTAGGAAGAACACAGCCCTTACACACCTGCTTGATCACCTGCACTACTTCCTGGATGTGGGAGTTGTTAATCTCTCTCTTCAACCTGTTGGTGTAATTGGAGTTTTAGAAAAGGGAGAAAGCCCCTAGGGAGAGTAGGGTAACATGCAGTCTACGCAGGGTGTAGGCAAATGAGAAATCTACCATAGGGCAGGAACCAGCTGGGGGCAGGCGTGGGGACCCAAGGAGTACGTAGGGGCCGCTGGGAGTCATGGGGCCCTCTGAGGGAACCATTTCCCCACCAAAACACGCTGTCCTTTAAGGCTTCCGTGGGAAACTGTGTCACCACAATGGACAGGCTGCAGTCCCAAGGCCTCAGCTCCCTCCCTGCAGGCTTGGCTGCCTCCAGGGCTCTGCCCATGTAGTGTTGGCCTCCGTGTTTTGTCTGAGGAGGACACTCTGATCAAAGGTGACAGGTGGGATCCGCTTTTTGGAGAGCCAGGGGACAGGTGCATCTTTGGGAAGTGAGTCAGGATCCACTTGTAGAGAGGCCCCTTTCCACCTGAAGTGGGGTCTGCCCAGCCCTGGGCCTCCCCTCCAGGGCTCACCTCTCCTGGGCCATCTTATCTGCGGTGACTTTGGTCATGCCCTGGATCCGCTCCAGTCTCTTGGTCTCCAGCTTTTTCTTCATCTCTTTGGTGTCGCTGCAGAGAGACAGGCATGAAGGAGCTGCTTTGGGCGGCCGAGCCCTTGCTGGGAGGTGAGGCAGGTGTGGGAGGGAGGTGGGAGGGAGGCAGTCGTACATCTCCGCCGTCTCCTTCAGGGCCTTCAGCTCTGCCGCCTGTTTCTCTCTGGCCAGCTCCATCATTTTGGAGATTTGCTGCGGGGAGAGGAAGCAGGTTTGGCGAGAAGCCCTTTGTTGGGCAGAGGGAGTTGGTGGGGGTGTCGGTGGAAGGGTGGGATAGGTCGGTGGCGGGGGAGTCGGTAGGGAGGCGGGG